TAGTCCCTACCTGTATCCTGTGTCCTACCGTTTTAAGACAATGGGATGAGAAATGAAAGGTAGGTCAAGACTCTAGTTAGAGAAGTGTTTTTTTTTTTTTTTTGGTTTTTTTTAAGGGGAAAAATATTTTTTTAATTATATTAAACATTTAACACTTCCAAGTCACATTCTCTTTGTAATAAAAATCATCCCGGCCAGGGTCGATTCTGTCTCAAATCAATCTTACAGGGCAGAGCAGAATCACCCTGTGGGTTTGAGACTATAAATCTTGGTGGAGTAGAAAGCTTCATCTTTTCATCTTTCTCCCTTAGAGCAGACTATGTCAGAAATGTGGGGGTGGGGTGGTGGTGGTGGTTGAAATCTTTTAGTCCTTTTCTTGTACATTATTCTGTATCCACATTCTCTGCATCTGATTGGATCCCTGGATTTTATTTCATTTTCTGTGTTACATTCTCCGCCGATATATATCATTGGCTGCTGTTTTGGGGGTTGCATGTCGTCCTCCTGGGGGTCCATTGTTAAATGCCTATGAAGTCAGAGACAGGGCTCGCTCCGCAAGGCCAAACAGCAGCAGCAAACGGGCCGAAGTATTTGCTTTTAAGGCAAAGGTACATTGTTCATCAAATAGGAAGAGCTTTGGCATAATTGTAAGAATAGGGAAAGGAATTTGCATAATGGAAATTAAAGGTAAAGAGTGTGAGGAAAGAAAAGTAGAGGGAGGAGCTGTAAGAGAAGACGAAGGAGGGGGAGGGAGGAAAAGGGGAGAGAAAGAAATATGGAAGGAAGAAAGACAGAAGAGAGTTAAAAAAAAAAGGACTTCTGAGGTGGCAGGAAGAAATGGGTCAAGCATTTTGAATGGATTGATTCTCTGCAATAGCGTTTGGATATAGGTATGGTTGAAGGGTGTAGGAAATGATATTTGGTCATCTCAAGTTCTATTACAAAATATTGGGCACTGATGGAAAGTTTGATCTTGAACATGCAGCACGCCATCCTCAGACGAAAGCAAAAAGCAATAAGGATGGGTCCAGAGAACGACTTTTTAGCTATGGAGTCAAAGGAATAGAACGGCTGATAGCCATTTTTAAATTTTTATTTAAATGAAGTAGTTGAAGGTATTATTTTCTTGTAGTTCCTCTCAGATGGAAAATAAATCCATATATTAAACTATAGCAGAAATAATAATTAGGGTGTTTAAATGAACATTTTAAGTTTGTTTTATGTTAAGATATTCCCCTGCTGCATAAATCTTTCATAGGTATCTGTTTCTTACTACAAACCAAAACTCTAAAAATACTCCTTGGTATAATTTGGAATTACTTAAATTGAGATGGCACTGAATTTATGTGTCTTCCATCTTAAAAGCTTGAAGCGGCCATCTAGCTCAGAAGCAACAAAGCCCACATGGAACAACATATCAACCTGTGTGATCACGAGGTGTTGAACGGATCACTGAAGACAAATGGGTGCATAAGCAAATGTGGCGAAGAAAGCTGATGGTGCCTGGCTATCAAAAAGTATAGCGTCTGGGGTCTTAAAGGCTTGAAGGTAATCAAGCGGCCATCAAGCTCAGAAGCAACAAAGCCCACATGAAAGAAGCACACCAGCCTATGCAACCACGAGGTGTTGAAGGGCTCAGGTATAAGCCCATCATCAGAACAAAAAATCTTACCATAGTGATGATGGGGGGAGTGAGGAGTGGAGATCCAAAGCCCATTAGTAGGCCACTGGAGATCCCCTTGCAGAGGGGTCTCGGGGAGGAGATGATCCAGTCAGGGTGCGATGTAGCAATGATAAGTACAACTTTCCTCTAGTTCCTAAATGTTTCCTCCCCACTCCCACTACCATGACTCGAATTCGATCTTGCAAGTCTGGCTAGACCAGAGGATGTACACTGGTACAGATAGGAACTGAAAATACTGTACAGGGAATCCAGGGTGGATGAGCCCTATAGGACCAGTGGTGTGAGTGGCAAAACAGGGAGGGTAAAGGGAGAATGGGTAGGAAAGAGGGAACCGATTACATGGAACTGTGTGTGACCTCCTCCCTGGGGGACAGACAACCGAAAAGTGGGTGAAGGGAGACGTTGGACAGGGCAAGGTATGACAAAATACCAATTTATAAACTATCAAGGGCTCATGCAGGAGGGGGGAGCGGGGAGGGAGGGGAAAAATGAGGACCTAATGTCGGGGGTTTGAGTGGAGAGAAAATGTTTTGAGAAACGATGTACAAATGCTCTTTAAACAATTGATGTGTGTATGGAGTGGGATGACAGTTGTATGAGCCCCTAATAAAATGTTAAAAATAAATAAATAAATAAATCTTTTAATCATGAAAAAAAAATCACTGAAAATATAGTCAGTGCTACTTAATGTATGCATATGTTGCCTATTTAACAGAGTAAACAATTTTGATCATGCAATCTTGTTTGGTATTAAAAGAAAGTAATTATACAGGCACATACTCATTTACTGTATCAAAAAGAAAACGTGATAGTAACTTGTAATAGGAGAACTTTCAAATCAGTGGTATCTTATCTGGAGGTCTCAGATGATCAAAATCTATAAATTAAGCAATTTTAGTTGATGAGGAGCTAATTAAAATTTCAGAGCACCCTATTAAGTTCCCAAATGAGGCATATGAAGGCTTTGAGTTATTTTACAATTATTTAAATTGTTTTAATTCCCTGGGCAATGCTTCAAAAGGCCAATGGGCTGAGCAATATTAAAACACAGACATTGCAAGAATCAAGGGTCATTATTTAATTAGTGTGTTTTAGAACGAGACAAAAGACTAAAGCATAGGGTAGAAGAATGATCATAAAAGTTGGGAGTGAAAATATTGGGAAAACTTTGGCTAATCATGCAATTTACAGGTGAAGAAATGGAGAGGATAAATAAGAAACAATATTACAACATAGTTTATTAGTAGGGGAGCTAGTATTAGAATTTGCTTATTTTACAATTTTGAAATTATTTTTTGAAATACCTGATAGGATATTTTCTTGGGGATTCAGGTTTTTCATTTTACTTGATGGTGTTTAGTGTTCTTAGTATTTGAAACCCAAATGCTTTGTATTTTGCTTTGGGGACAACTTTAGGCATATGCATGTATCAATAGGTAACCTCTATAGTGCAAATATTAGGATTTATTATTTTTTAATCCTTCTGCTAGACAAAGTTGCTATCTAGTAAAGTTGTTAAAAATATGCAAAAATAAACAAAACAAAACCTTTAAGAGTCTTCATAGTCATGATATACCATGTAATATCAGGGTGCATTCTTCCTAAGTGTAAGGCAGCCCCCTCACTTATATCTGCTCTAGTTACAACAGAACTTTAGAGTACAGAGTTTAACCATTAGAGTATAAATCTGCTAAAAAAAAAAAACCCCAAAATCCAGTCATTTAGACCCTTCTACTGTTTTATCTTTTAACATTTAACATTTATACTGACTTGTTGTAAAACATTCTCATAAAATAATTAACATATATTCAAAATTAACAGATAAGGACATACTTTATACAAGAAGTCTGCTACAACTATGATTTTGGAAAACCCATAAGCCGAAGAGAAGATAGCTTTACCTTTTAAACTTTATTTTCTCATTAAAAAAATAATTTGATGGAGGGCTCACACAACTCATCACAATCCATACATCCATCCATTGTGTGTCAAGCACACTTGTACATTTGTTTCCCTCATCATTCTCAAAACATTTGCTTTTTACTTTAGCCCTTGGTATCAGCTCATTTTCCCCTCCCTCCCCGCTCCCCTCTCTCTCATGAACCCTTTAAATTTATAAATTATTATTATTTTGTTCCTTTTAAAATTTTTAATCTTTTTAGCTTTACCTTTCATCATGATTGATAACTCATATAATACAGAATATCAGATATTACCATGATCAGAAGTATAAGCAGTAGCTTTCTTCTGGTGGAATGTTTAAAAATTTTCTGTCATCTATTTTTAAATTTTTCTTCCTTGTATTTCTTTAGACAGGACAACCCTTGCTTCTCAATTGAATGCCCATTGGTTTGAAATGAGTGGGTAATTTTCAACTGATCATATATAATTGTAGCCAAGGCAGAAATGGGATATTAAGTAATTTTTTTCCATTCCATTAACCCAGTCTTCTGAGATGTTTATTAAGCAATCACTCTCTAAGTCAAACATTTCAAAACATTGTAATCAGAACTTATGAACAAATTATAATAAGTAGATTGTAGCCTTCATTTTCTATGACATTACAACTCGGTCTTCATGTGGGCGAACAGTGAGCAAAGTGGAATGATGAACTGTGAGTGCTAGTCATTGTCGTAGATGCAATCTGAAAGAAACACACGCAAAGTGTAATGAGATCAAAGCCAACTGAATCGGAAATGTAGGCTAGTACTTAACATACGCTCCTGGTTTCAATGTTAGAGAAACAGATCTCATTCATCCTATGATGAACTAGTTAGAGGGAAGTTACTATCCTAGTCCTTAACTTTTATTGTTCGATGTACAGTTTTAACAGAATTTATTCTCTATTGACATGGCAATTATTTTATTTCATCTTACATTTAATTAAGTGTAATTGGGGGTAGCAAGTATCATACATTCAAAAGGAGATTAAATGGTACCATTATTAACAGTATGCTTTGTTTCAGTTGAGATGAACTTTTAGAGCATGATTTAGAAATACACTGCATGATGCTGAGAGGAAAGTAGTTGGTAACAGAGGCACACATATTTATGTGGATAAAAGAAGAAAAATTCTTATATTCGTGGTATAATGAAATCTCACCATCTATTTTTATAGTTTTGTTTTCAAAGACCATCAATGAATTTCTTTCTTGTTTTCCAGTCCCATGTTAACTGTCCCCCTACACACACACACACACACACACACACACACACACACACACACACACACACACTATAATACCAGGGCATTTGTCATTCCTCAGATGGTCCAGTGATTCAAATTCTGATCAATTTGGAAGGCTCTAATCAACCTAACAAGCTATTTCTAGTGTTTGTGAAAACACGCTAGTGAGTTCACTGTTCCGTTCCCTGTGGGGGCTGCCAGATGAGACTTACCCTCAGCAATGTCATCATAGATCTCGCCATCACTGTAAAGGCAGAAAAATGGTCTTTAATCACTTCTTAACATGAACACAATACACACAAGAAAAGGGAAACAAGATATTGAGTTTATATAACCGAATTAAGGCATCTAAGGGTGAACAGTTTCACTTGATATATTTATTAGTGGACTTTTTCTTATATTCATCTGTCTATCTCATTCACTTATTTTCTCTTTCATGCTGAAACAACTCCACCCTGTATTCTGTACTAGGTCCATGGGGTCATTGAAACTCACCTAAAAAGAATAGACCAGTGCCTATTTCTCCTTAGCCCTTAATATGGGTCTGGCACATGGCTGCTCTGAGGAAGAGGGGTGTATAGGGCTGACCTTGCTCAACGCCAGTCATGGTGCTGTACTCTAGGGCAGGTCTTAATCCAAATTGTACCAATCTATTTACATCCATTAATGGGAGATTTCTGCTTTCATTTGAACTTCAAATGTTGAA